GGGATGTTCTTTAAGGTTTGAATGCTGTCCCTCAAGTAAGGCGACCCCTGCGTTTTCGAGTAAAGGATAACCAAGCTGTGAAGAGTTTGAGGATTCTGTCAACTGATATGAAATTAAAGTATGGGAAGTCAACTGATATGAAATTAAAGTATGGGAAATATAAAGACAATGGTAGGAAGTGGGAAAACAATTAAAGTCTTTCATGAGGTGAAGGAGGATTGCAGTATGTTTGTTCACAGAGAAGCTGATATTGAAGTAGGGTTACCCTACCATTTAAGACCTAAGCACTTTTTACTTCAGGGTGTGCTGCAGAGCCCATAGTAAAGCAAAGAAACTGTGAGCTGGAGAAGGAAATGATAACACAGTCCTAGGATAAATAGCCAGAAGAAGTTCAGCCATGAAGAGAAAGTTCAATCGGGAACTTCAGCATAATTTCTCCAGTTGGCTCCTGTGGATGTTGCAAGCGCCCAATTTTACAACCGTCTCTCTCTCTCTGATATTCTTTTTCAGTTTATTTTTTGAGATTATAATATAATTAAAATATATATTCCTTCTCTTTTCTCCTTCCAAACCTTCAGATGTAGCTACTCCTTGCTCTTTCCTATTCATAGCCTATTTTCTTTAGTAGCTACTATATAGGGGTGTGTGTGTGTGTGTGTGTGTGTGTGTGTGTGTGTGTGTGCGTGTGCGTGTGTGTGTGTGACTATGTGTAGGCAACTGAACAGCATTATGAATTTATTTGACTACTATTCTGTCACATTTAATATTACACTCTTCTGCTTATATCCAAATACTAGTTGAAACCATGAATGAACTGTCAGTTCTTAATCATTTGCTTACTTGGACTATTAGTTCACAAAGAGTCTATATTTTTTTCTTTAGTCATTTTATTATATGTTTAATATTTTAGTCATTTATTTCATATTTAAATGGAAGGCCTTTAAGTCCATCTGCTTTTCTGTTTTGGAAAATACATAGGTAATGACAGAAATATTTTGAATTGATAACATTGGCGTTTAGTGCATTACTAGAAACAATTATTGCTTTATCTTTTCTACTAAGCAAGCATATTAGTGGAACATCACCAGTCCCTTTAATATCACTCTCAACACACCCTCTGCCTTACTCTTTCATGTAGAGTTGCAGCTGGCCTTTCAAATCCGTAGGTATGTCTTGCTCAATTAATTTTGGCAAAGTTCACTTAGCAGGAGCTGTCTTATCAGTTCTTGAAAACTGAGAATATAATTCCATCATAGCACAAGTGTTTCTCTCCAATTTTTTAGTAAATTGAAAAGCATATGAAATCATTTTTAGAAAAAAATGTTCTCAAACATCAACATTATGAATTTATCATACACTTTTTACTTCAAATTGTTCTTTGTTGAGATTATTTTACAAGTACAATTTTCTTATTACACAGTTATGACCAAGTTACCAAAAGGTAACTCTTCTTAAGACTTATTTTTGTTATTTTTAATTATGTGTATGTATGTGTTCTTCTATGTGGGTATGTGCATATGAGAAAAGGTGTCTGTGGAGATCAGACAGGAGCATTGGAGTCCCTGGAGCTGGTGTTACAGACACTTGGGATCAACCCAAGTAAGGCACTAGGAACTGAACTCAGGTTTTCCAGATGAGCAGTAAAGTACTCTTAATAGCTGAGCCATCTCTCCAATTCTATGCTATCTATATTATTGCATTTTGGTAGCTATATATATAATTCTTATTTGTTCATACATACTAACATCTCTAAGATAAGCATGTGATTAAAATAACTCAGGCAATGTTGCTAAATTTGAAAGTGTATAATAACTACCTGGAGTTTTACATAATGTGATATTTCTACTTAGTAATAAAAACCTTATTTGTTTTTACAAAGTGTTTCTAAGAATCCTAAAAAAAACCCTCTCTGTTTTGTGGACATGAAAAAAAATCTATTGCTTAAATTCCCAATTGTTAAGGTACTACCTTTGAACAGGTTTCTACAAATCCTGAGATGAATCGCAGAAACTTCATTTTGGAACAGTTTAGATACAAATTATGTGAGTTTAGTTCACATTAACATCACAAATAGCAATTGGAAACTTAGTAACAAATTCTTAAAGCATTTGTGAGAGTCATTAATTTGAAGGAGCACAGATCATGCTGGTTTCAAGTGTTCTTACCTTTACTCCCATATGGCAGCTGGAATTTCAGTAGAATTCTCTCTGAGGTTATCTATGGAACTAGAAAAGGATTAGGATAAGCAATAACTGAGAGATCAAAGATAAATCAGCAATCTACGTTCTCAAGGTAGTCTTAGGCTGATGAAGAAGGGAGACAAATTATTCAGAGGTTACACTGTATGATGTCAATACAATGGTAAAGGAGTCACTGGCTGCTTCAGTGAGCATTAAGGAATAGGTCTTGTTCATAGTCAGACTGAAATTTTAAAGTTACATTTTTAGTAATACTAATAGTGGAAGTTTCGGAGATTAGGTTACAATAAACCTGTCTATAATAATCTAGATACATATCTCAGAGCTAAGTGTTACAAATGGAAAACAGACACTGTAGATCCAAGTTTAACATCAATGTGATATGCCTTGTTGTTGTTTAGTTAAAGTTGAGTAATGCAGTCAAAGTCAACAGAAATGAGTAGGTAGTTTAAGTGGAAGGCAAAAAGCTGATCCACTAGTTGTTATTTATAAAAGCTGACATAATTGAAATAATTGCACTAAAGTTATTTAGGAATAGAATATATAAACATCTTTAGGCTTGATTTGTACATGAAATTATCAGTTTCATGAAAGTATTTGGCTTGGTTCACTGATGGTCTAGTACACAATAAGTTTTGGTTTCTTTTTCTTTTTTTAATTTATTTAATTTTTTCAATTTACACACCAACCACAGCTCCCCATCCCATTCCTCCTCCTGCTCTCTCCCAACACCTCCCCCTACAACCTACCTCCCATGCACTCCTCCAAAAAGGTAAGGCCTCCTATGGGGAGTCAATAAAGCCTGATACATTCAGTTGAGGAAGGACCAAGCCCCCAGCCCCTGCATCAACATTGAGCAAGGCATCCCACTATAGGGAATGGGCTCCAAACAGTCAGCTCATGCACCAGGGATAAAACTTGATCCCCCTTCCAGGAGTTCCTCAAACAGCCAAGCTACATAACTGTCTTCCACATGCAGAAGGCATAGTTTGGATCCATGTAGGCTCCACAGCTGTGGGTCTACAGTTTGTGAGTTCCCACAACTTGGTTCAGTTGTCTCTGTAGATTTCCTCATCATGATCTTGGTGCCCCTTGCTCATATAATCCCTCTTCCCTCTCTTCCACTGGACTCCTTGAGCTAGGCCTGGTGCTTGGCTATTTCTCTGCATCTCCTTCCATGTGTTACTGGTTAAAGGCTCCATGATGACAGTTAGGGTATTCCCCAATCTGATTACTGGGGTAAGCCAGTTCAGGCACCCTCTCCACTATTGCTAGTAGTTTAGCTGGGGCCATCCGTATGGATTCTTGGGAATTTCCCTATCACAAGGTTTCTCCCTAACCCTATAATGGCTCCCTCTACAAATATATTGCTTTCACTATTCTCCCACTCCATTCCTTCCCCACCTCAAACATCCAATTCCCTAATGTTCTCATTCTTCATCCCCTTCCCTCTACCACCCCCACACCCAGTTTACCCAGGAGATCTCATCTATTTCCCCTTTCTCAGAGCTAACCCATGGATCCCTCTTAGGGTACCCCTTGTTACCTAGCTTCTCTGGAGCTGTAGGTTGTAGTCTGGTGATCAGACAACACCATGTTTGTCTTTCTGAGTCTGGGTTACCTCACTCAAGATGATATTTTCTAGACCCGTCCATTTGCCTGCAAATTTCATGATGTCACTGTTCATTTCTGAGAATTTGATGAACGTGTTGAAATAACATAACAAACAACAACAGTGCTTAAGAACAAGATGGAAGAGTATAAAGGTGGTTTGGTGGTTCAAACACTTGCTACACAATCATGAGAACTGGAAATCAGATTCACTGCACTCGCATAAATGATAGGTAGGTTATTCAGCCTGCTTGTAGTCCCAGTGTTCTGTTAGAAGGAGTCAGGATTCCTGAAGAATGTTAGACAAATCAGCCTTCTTCAGAATATAAAATAGAGAGCCTCCAGAAAAGACAAAGGATGTCAACCTTCATATGCATGTGCATATACCTGCACACATATGTGTTTTTACACTCATGAAAACACACACGCACAAATTCATATGCCACAGATACATTCACATAGGGAAAATGTATTAAAACTTTACATCTTCCTCATATAGGAACAATCGAAATCCTAGTTGGCATTCAGTAATTCAGCTTTACACATGAATATCAGCTAGATTTTCTTTTCTTTTACAAAGATAAACTTGTGAAAAATATCCACTAGCAATTAATAGCTGCTGTCATTAGGTGCTGTATATACCATTTGCATATCTTTAAGTGAAGAAAGCCAATCTGAAACCATGTCTAATCTGAAAAAGTGAAGAAGCACCATAGTAGCCCCATGTGCTCAGGAGACAAAAAACAAAGCTAAGCAGCAGCAAATTCCTCAACAGATTCTAAGAAGGCTTCTTGAGATTCAGATCCACCAATTCTTCTTTTCATCCACAAAAGGAGAATACTGATGCTCTTTGGTGACTTTACAATAAAATATATAATATTATTTAACATGTACAGCCAATAGGTACACATGGATTTTGTTCAACTGAATGCTTAAAAGCTCAAATTACATGTGTGAGTACTTTGAATACAGAACCTATCCAAACATTCCATGCATGACTTCTTTTTCTTTTTTAACTTTTATGAACTTTATTATTCATTACTTGCAAATAAAATAACATATTTCTTTCTAAATTTTGTCTTCATACTTTGAATTTATATCATGACAGTTGTAATACCCTGGCTTTAGAGTGGTTCTTTTTATAATATGCCTAACTATGTAGCCCAGTTTATCCTCAAACTATCCTCTCTTCACAGATCCACCTCTGGCTTAACCTCCGAAGTGCTGGAATTGAAGTGTAAGTCACTATGCCCAACTGGTTGCTCAATTTTGGTTCCAACAATTTCAGTTCTATGGTTATATGTCTATGGACAAGGGGTTAAGCATATGACATATGTAATAACAGTAATTTATAAGATAGGCCTTCATGTGACCAGCATATTACAGTGCAATGGTGTTGTTAATAGACTATTCTAATGCACAGAAGTTCCTCATTGCATTTACTCTGTTAGAATTTGTATATGAACAATGATGTTCCATTTAGGTTGCAGACAATGAATCTTTTAAAGGACATTTTGACTATAGACAGATGTCATTTTCAATTACATGGTATGTTCTCTGAAATATAGTTTGACAATGCCCAGTCAAGTCAACTAATTACATCTTATTATCCTGAATGAGGTAATGCATGGCTAGGTGCAATGTAATTAATCTTACATTAGTAGTTTCTATAAACATCTGATATATTTGAGGAAGCTTAATTATTTCAAGTGGAGAACCTGGCTCAACTTTAGAACATGTCATTCAATTTAGAAAATGTAATTGAAAAATACGTTTTTAATCATTCTTTAAAAGGATGTTTATTTTAGATTAATATTAATAAATTATTTTTATATAAATGACAAAAATTTTAAGTTAATATTAACCCCTACTTTAAACCTTGGGAATAAAAAGTATTTCATAAAATATAAAATTTAACATCTGACATCAAAAAGAATAAATCAATATTAATATTTAAAATAATTATTATTATATATGAAGTTTCCTACAGAGCAAGACAAGAGCAGTTGACAAAGTTTGATGACAGGAGCTATCACTAAAATGGAGATTTGTTTCTTAACTTTAATTCTGTGTTTTGATTTAAGCTTTATTTTTTTCAATGCTGAAGTCTGAAGCAGAACCTTTATACATGCTAGATAATTGCCACATCTCTAAGCTACATTCTCAGGTTCTAACTTTAGTGTTCTTGTTTGTAAATAAAACCTGCATAACAAGGGTTTATTTTTGGTTTATTTGTTTGTTTTCTTGTTAGGCATCTACCAAACTGATGCATCACCATTTTGTACTCCAAATATCTCTTATTATTTATTTAAATATTTGTTGCACAATTTTCAGTAACAGAACAAGAAGGTCCTAAAGACATATCTGAGTAATTATTGAGACATCAAATGGTGCATTTTGATTGATACCCAAAGTTCCCCATTTGAATTAAGCATGGCAAGTATGGGGCAAAAGGGGTACAGGAGCAAATTAATGGAATTGTTTCATATATTCTCAAATGTTTAACAATTGACACTGCTAAGCACTATAGAATGATTCTGTAAGTATGAGCTACAGGTTCTCTTTTCACTCCAACATCGAACTGGGTGTATCCCTTATTTCTTAGTTTCCTTTTTAAATAATGTATGTAGCACATATCAAAGAATAGTGAGACCAGTAATATCAATAGCATTATCTCCAGTTTATAAATCACAGATTTCCAAAAGGAAAAGAAGGCAGGAAGAAACTATAGTATCAATGGCCTAAAGTTAACAGTTTGAGTGAAGATAAACAATATTTTGAATAAATTAAAAACTACCAGTTCAGTATAATCTTTGAGTCTGTCAAATTTCCCTATGTTCATGACTTCAAACGTTGATCATGAAAACTGTTGGGATGGGACACATTTCTGTGATGATGAATGAGCAAAACCATCACCCATGTCCCTCAAAGAGTGACACATTCATCCTGTCTCTTGGAGTGATAATGTCCCTGTCAGGATGGCCACGGGTGAGAAGCTACTTTGAGAACACTCTTTCCCAGTTCTGTGCTCAGTTACCTTTCAGGATTGTAAGACTACAGGCCCAAACTTTACACTTCAGAGAGGAAAACACTGATTGTCCTTTTTTTTCCCCTTCTTCTAGAAATTCATTGTTCAACCAAGGTCCAGATACCTGAATGCACAAGCACTCCAACCTCTGTCCAGGATCCTTTTTTCCTCCCTGCTACACACTACACTTGGCCTTAACCTCTGATTCTTGGAGTATACAATTTATGACATCTTCAAAATGAAGTTCAAATATAGATATGCTACCTGGAACTGAACCTTGTAAGTGTACTGTACTTTGTCCTAATGGTCAATAAGATATCTTTTTTTTTTTATTCCTAGTAATTTTTGTGAGGATTATTGGTACACAAACATCAGGGAACCCAACGAGATTATAGTAAGTTTTATGATATCTGTGCTGTTCTGGAAGAGCGATAGGCCAACGACTTTGACAACAGTAACCCCACAAAGTAGTACCCAACAAAGAGTGCTTTGTTTTCAAACTGTACAGCAATGGCGGAATTAGACATGCACTGTGAAAATAAGTGTGAACTTTAGACACATGTCCTGTTTCTCACACTTTCCCTGAAAGCCAGATTTCTTAGCATTTACTGTCTTCTGTGTTACACTATTTTGAAATCTGCCTCTGATCACAGAATTTTGTGATGTGCTAAAGTGAGTAAGATACTCGGCTTTTAAAATTTCAATTTGCAAGTGCTAATTAGTACCTACCACGTGGGATAGGTCCCAGAAAAGTTGTTAGAAAAATTAGGGATATAAGAGGAGAGAGACCAAAGTACAGAAAGAAATTCCTTCAAAGCATAAGAAGGGGCAGAGTAGAATAATGGACGTGGGCACAGAGATGGAAAATAAATCAAGCACCCACAAGGATGAAGCTTTGCTTTCATTGATTTAAAGTGAGGTTCAGGGGACATTATTCTTTACTTATACAGAACATGTCTTATCTCATTCTCTTTCATCTCATATTTGAATCCTATCAAAATAAAGATCAAATAAGCTAGTTGTAGCTTTCTATTTTGAGTAGATTAAAAGCAATAAAATATCCTAATTTTACTCTTTTTTTGTAGTAGGAAGCTCTAACATTTGAGAAAGCTTTTAAAAATCCAGTGCCTTTTATGATTATTAAATATTTGAAAACATTTCTTAAAGTATTATTTTCATAAGTTGACAATTCCAAGATTTTTACAATCAATTCATTTTCTAACAGTTCCTTCAGCAAGGCTATAATTCCCCCAGCAAGGCTACACTTCCTAGTAGTACCATTCCCTATGAGCCTATAGGGGCTATTTTCATTTATGTGGTAAATTCTTAATCAATTGCAAAAAGTGCTCTAAGAAATTCTATATGTATCTGCTTGGCATTAGTTTCTACCTAGCCCTATTTTATAAATTTTGTTTGAAAACACATATAACTTGTGAGAGTTAAAACTTCTTATAATCTTCTGTAATCAACATAAGCAAAATTTACTTGCATTCTTCCATACATTATTTCTCAAACTTTACTGCACTGATGCTGCAATTTTAATCCATGTTCATAGTTCGATTCAGCACACGTGAACACCGAGTTGAAATGTGTTTCCAGAGTTAGTGGATCCAGGAAAGCATCCGAATACATGCCGTAGCAATGCCTTGCTTTGTTGTTGCTTTCTGTTCCTGGGACTTGCTTTTCCCTCTGGCTTTCTCAGGTTTCTCTCAAGTTAATACTTTCTCAACTCTATGATGCCTGATACCTTGTCTTGACATTAATCACTGTGAAGCTAACACCTATTACACCCTTCAGGATTATCTTGAGCTTAACTCTGTCTGCACAGCCATGAATCAGTCATGAAAACTGAGAATGGGGCCTCTTCAAATCAAACCACATTAAAAAAAAAGTTCCTCATGAAAAATTTAAAATTTAAGTTTTTCCTAGTTCTTACAATTTTCTTTTGGAAATTAATAAACTTTAAAGATACCATCGGGCAAACTTAAACTTGGTGAATAAGGCATAGGTAAGAATAGTTGTTTAAGGTTATTTTACCACTGAAAAAATTCATGTCTTAACTAAAATTTTATTTAAATTTTCTTTTTTTCTGAAAATATAGTTTATATAACAATTTCTTTGTAATATTTTGTCTCTTATATTCTGGTATATGTTTAATAGAAGGAAAACTATAGTTTTGATAGATTTGTAATCAGTTCAATGATCAACAGTGAATTAATATTAAACAGGTTCCGATTTTGAATTTTGGAAGAATTTTCATGATTTGTTCACAAAATCGTGATTAAAACTATGCTTTCTATTTACTGTAAGAACCTTCCAACTTTATAATTTTGTGCCTGAAGTTTTGTTTATTTTAAAATATTACCAATACACAAAAGTCACATGGGTGTGAAAGTAACTGAAAGTTATTCAGGTGGAATATTTGGGTCAATTATATCATAATATTATAGTAAAATTTCAGGTATTAAATTTTCAGTACTTTTTTTATAAACATTTTCTTTTAATTATTCATTGAGTGTGTGTATTTGTGTGTGTATGTGGTATGCATGTATGTATATATTTGTGGGCGGGTGCTGTATATGTGTATTTGGGTATTGTGTGTGTGTATGTGTGTATTTCTTTTTCTGTGTATGTTTTATGTGTGTATGTGGGCACTTGTATGTGTGAATCTCAGTCTTTTTGTGTTCATGAGCACACATGGATGCTAGACATTGATATTGAAATTTTTCATTACCCATCTATACCTTAATCATTTAGACAGGTTTTTTCACTGAAGATAGAGCTCACGGATTGAGTTAGATTTTCAGATCAGATAGTCCTAGAGGTCTTCCTGGCTCTGTAACATTCAAAAGGCTGGAATCATAGGCAAGCAGAGTGAGCCTCAGTGCTTGATTTTTATGTGAGTACTGGGTGCCCAAACAAAGATTCTTATGAAAGAGTAAGAAGTCCATACTTAGTAAGCCATTTGTACACTCCATCTCTTTATTTGCAATTATTTATTACTGTTAATTTCCTGTACATAACTCAAAAATACTTGTGAAGGACAAGTAAATACATTCATTCCATGTATAATGATCAATACATACTTTCTTTAACAAAAATCAGTAGGATATTGATTGGGTAGACAGAGGTAGATTTTAGCTTTTATAGAGTATAGCTAAATTTGGACACATGTCCTGATGTTGCTACAGAAAGGCAAATATTTTGAAAAACAATTGTTTCTTTTAGTGCTGCATCGTTAACAGTATGTCTTTATGACTTTTTATCCTAGTAATTCTTGATTTGGAAATGTTTATATGTTCTTGCTGATAGGGTATAAATTGTTTTATTAGTCAGAAATAACTTTAAGTGAATATGGATTTATATCAGAAAAACTATCAGTAGATCAAAAAAAGGTTATTGAACATAAAAGCCTTACATATACACAGAATTTTATAGTATTTCTATATCATTGAAATTCCATTTAAAATATTTCCATTTGTGATATATTTGAAGAAATTTAGAATTTAGTACATACAGAAGAATATTATATATTAATAAAATAGTCTATAAAATAAACAAAAAGGAGTCTTACAGTCTTTCTAAGTAGCATTCAGAAGCAATAAAAGTTGCAATATTCTAAGCATCCTTGAAGTTATTAACTAATCAAGCACAGTAGAGAGTGAAATTTAGACATCTTAATTGTGAAAATTAGGAAAAGCCAAATAAGCACTAACAGAAAATAATCAAAGTTTAACAATAGAAAAACATTCAACAAGCTTGAAATTCACTTATCAATGACTCTTGGAAAAACTTAAAATTCTTGCTAGTTATATATAGCTAATATGGGGCTTAGCATGATATCCACATTTCAGAAAACCAGCCATCACAAATAAAAAAGGAGACTCAGTAGGATATACATACATACATATAGCATGTAGATATATACATAGTTGCATATATACATATTGATGTAGTAATAATAATAATAGAAGGAAAAGAGGCTGTCAATTTGAGAGTGGGGTACATGTACAAATGAAAGAAAAGTAGTTAGGAGGAGCTGGAAGGAAGTGTTATAATTCTGTTTAAATAAAAAAACATATTTTTTAAAAAGATCACTATGTAAATATACAGAAGTCAAGAAGCAGATTACCAGTCACTAGAAATGTTGTGGGGAAGAGTTCTGGTCCACTTCTTTGGACCTCCAGATTGCTGACATGTTCAGACATGAGTATCATCCAGGGATTTTCAAGTTCAAATGAACTGTCCTCAAGAACTTACGTACATAAAATGTAACAAATACCAATGCACAAACTTCAAAATTTTACAGGAAAAAATGTGATTATAATAGTCAGCGAGCTATTTTTTCCTACATGTGAAAAGATGTTGCTCTGACATCCATTCTAAAGGAATAAAGCATGCAGCTTATTGTATATTCACTCAATTCTTTGTCTCCTGGGATATGGAAGCAGGAAGAATCTGCAATTTTCTGTTAAGTTCAGTGTTACCCAAAGCTACTAAGCTACTGAAGTACTAAGACATACTAAGCCTATACATTTCCAAGCTAATTTCTTACTTCTTAGTCCAAGTGAGCTTCATGCTTCATTTTTTTTTTATTGTGGGGAAACTATAGGCCTTAAGATGCCACATACCTTGTCTGTGTTTTTCTTTATCATTTTTGTTGAATTGTTTTTTTTTTTTGTTGTTAGACTAAAGATGAAATCTCTGGCCTCATGGGCTAGGTGAGTATTCTATCACCTAGCTGTAATTGTATCCACAGTTTTGAGAGAAGCCTAGATGAATTATTCTTCAAAGTTTAAGTTATAAACATATGCCAATGTATTATATGGTAAATTTGATTATATATTTAAACATCATATGGCAACTAATTTCACCTGGACTCTTTACTTTTGCAATTTCCATCATAATTGTAGATATAAAGAAGCTAATTGCAATTTATAAACTATATGTTGAATATATTACAAAATTCCCAAATCTTCTTTGTCCCACTTCTCAGTTGTCATCTAAGAGTTAATGAATTGATAAATATGTAAACACAAAGGCTGTTTTAAAGTCTCATTGCTATTACATAGCATTATTGAGTTTTTTTTCTCTTTAACCTTGTAGTTAAATTCCAACACTGCACACAGTCATAACTGCAGTTGTTGGGATATCGCTCATATGTGCAGAAATTAATTTACCTTTGTGCTCAATTTTAGTAATAGAACACACTTATATAAACTCAATACAATCAATCATGTGAATTTCTCTAGTATAAATGAAGAAAAGAGAAAAGTTTA